ACATCTAGGAAATGTCCAAACAATCTAAAAAAAAATGCATCATGCAGACATCAAAGATGTCTCCGTGATGTATGTGTGCTATCACCTAGGCTGAATTTACTTAATCAAAAATACTGGGGGGAAAAAACGTAATATTGGTTATTATTTCAATTTAAAATAGGCCTAACTGTTTTCTATTTGAATTTGTTTTAAAATGTAATTTATTTCTGTGATGCAAAGCTGAATTGTCAGCATCATGATCCTCCAGAAATCATTCTAATAGGATGATTTGGTGCTGAAAAAACATTTCTTATAATCATTAATGTTGAAGTTGCTTAATATTTTTGTGGAAACCATGATACTTTTTTTTTCAGAATTCCTTGATTAGGAAGTTTTGAACTAATGCCATTTATTTGAAATAGAAATATTTCATAACATTATAAATGTCTTTACTATCACTTTAAAATAATTAAATGCATTCTTGAACAATATTCATAATATTGTTTTCTTAAAAACCTTCAAAATATAATTAATAATATTAATATTAATAGAACACGTTCCAATCAAACTACATTATACATAGTGTCAGTGGTGTTCATTTGGGAAGAAAGACCATCCATATAAATTCTTATGAGATTTTCTGGATTAATCTTTTAGGCGAATAAATCATCAGTTGTAAAACACCAATATGAAGTCCATATTAATACACAGACCAATGATGCACTGAGTTTGTGCTTGTTTTCATTCAAACTTGTGCGAGTTGTGCTCAGACACCTGTTGTTAGCAGCAGTTACAGGCAGTTAACCTCAAGATGAGCTAGTCAACCTTCACAAACACTGAACCTCTTCCACTGTCACTAGGCCATTTGCTTTAATATCTCAAATAAAAGTTAGCAGCACCACACAGCTCTCAGTTTTCGGAGTGCATTGACCAAAAGGTAAGAAATACATGTTATTAAGCTCAATATCCTAAGACTATGAATGAAATATTTAGAAATGTATGTGAAATTCTTGTGCCTTATAGAAAATAAACACCTAGGTAATTATATTTTCCTAATATAATTATTATAAATATATAGTGATTTAAAAGCTTCTTATCTTTATCTTTATGCTATTTTTATAGTGTAGCACTAACGTTAGTGATGACAGCCAGAGCTTTGCCTACTTGTCTAACAAGATTTTTCTTGCGAAATTGATTATATAAAGACATTCAAATGAATCTAAAAAGTGTAAAACTGAGAAACGCTGATAGCTGTTAAGAAGAAAATAAGAGAATAACAGCGTTCAGAGTTGAAAGAAACATCTCAGACGTACCGTTTAAACGTAGAACGAGAAACGCCAGTTTCGCACTGGATGCTGGGTAATGTAGTCGTTTTATTGCAAGCTGAACGGGATTCTCTAAGGGAAGAGGGAATAACGAAAACTACAACCAGTTTCCTGTGGGAATGTTTCTATGTTATCAGGGAAACAGGGAAAGGGATATATGGTTCCGCATTTTTTTTTCTTCATTACTTTGATTAATTATGATAATAATAATAAAAAACCTTATCATATTACTCTTAATATGATGCTAGACTTAATTCAGTCAAGCTATGCAATTTACAGTGAATTTCTTGACAAAATGTTTATATTCTACAACTACTAAAATGAATAATAATTAATGTTTGTTTTTCATTTATATTTTACACAGTTCTCTGCAAAAAGATGGCCTTACAGCCTCTGACTGCTGTGAACTGTGCTGGCCTTCTGCAACCAGGCTTCTCCTTATTAGAGCTGGAGGGTGACGTTTACCTCTTTGGTCAAAAGGGCTGGCCAAAACGCTCATGTCCAACTGGAATATTTGGTGTACGCATAAAAAACGGAGAACTTAAGCTGCGTGCCATTTCATTTTCAAACAACTCTTGTTATCTCCCTCCCCTCCGATGTCCTGCGATAGCTCATTTTGAGCCTCATGATGGCAGTCCTGAGTGTTACCTCATTCATGGTGGCCGAACACCCAACAATGAGCTGTCCTCAAGTCTCTACATGTTAAGTGTAGACAGCAGAGGATGTAATCGCAAAGTCACATTTTGCTGTCAAGAAAAAGAGCTGGTTGGAGATGTTCCTAGCGCTCGATACGGCCACACCCTCAGCGTGATCCTTAGCCGAGGGAAGACCGCCTGCGTTTTGTTTGGCGGCAGGTCCTACATGCCCCCCACCGAAAGGACCACGGAAAACTGGAACAGCGTGGTGGACTGTCCACCACAAGTCTTTCTTATTGACCTAGAGTTTGGTTGCTGTACGGCCCACACCCTCCCCGAGCTCACGGACGGCCAGTCGTTTCATGTAGCTCTTGCGAGAGAGGACTGTGTCTACTTCCTTGGCGGTCACATTCTCAACTCTGATTGCCGACCACCTCGTTTGATCCGCCTACGTGTGGAGCTTCTCTTAGGAAGCCCTGTCCTCACCTGTACTGTTCTTCATGAAGGTCTCACCATTACCAGTGCCATAGTTGCTCCTGTTGGCTATCATGAGTATATAGTTTTGGGTGGCTACCAATCTGAGACTCAGAAGCGCATGGAGTGCACATACATTGGCCTGGATGATGTCGGAGTCCACATGGAGCCTCGTGAACCTCCTCAGTGGACCAGCGAGGTAACCCACAGCCGTACTTGGTTTGGTGGCAGCCTGGGCAAAGGAAGTGCCTTGATTGCAATCCCCTCTGAAGGAAACCCAACTCCACCAGATGCTTACCATTTCTATCAGGTGAGCTTCCAGAAGGAACAAAATGGAGAAACATCAACTCAGGGATGCAGCCAGGAGTCCACTGATTTTGAGGACTCTGCACCTTTGGAAGACTCTGAGGAGCTGTACTTTGGCAGAGAACCTCATGAGCTGGAGTATAGCAGTGATGGAGAGGGTGACACCTACAATGAGGAAGACGAGGAGGATGAATCTCAGACAGGCTATTGGATCAAGTGCTGTCTAACCTGCCTGGTGGACCCCAACACCTGGGAGCCCTACTACTCTACTGAACTCACCAGACCTGCCATGATCTTCTGCTCCAGAGGTGAAGGTGGACACTGGGTCCATGCCCAGTGCATGGAGCTCCCCGAAAGCCTTTTGCTTCACCTTTCTCAAGACAACAGCAAGTACTTCTGCTTGGATCACAGAGGCCTGCCCAAGCAGGAGATGACTCCACCACGCCAGATGATGCCAGTGAAGAGAGTCCCAATGAAAATGACCCATCGCAAGGCTCCAGTTTCAATGAAAATGACCCCAGCTAAGAAGAGCTTTCTGCGGAGACTTTTTGACTGAAATGTCATTGTTCTGTTCTGTTATATATCATAACTATGTGTTTTAATTGTTTTATATTAACGGAAAATTGGATGTGTTTTTTTTTTCATAGAAATAACAGAAATGTATTATTAATTGAATGAATATGCTTACTGCAGTATTAAGAAACTACAAGCATTTTTTACAAGTCTTTTTTGTTATTGTTAAACTGATGATTTATTTCTTCTTTAAAATGTGGGGGGAACGCTTGTTTTTTTCTGCTTAAATAAAGAGAAATAATTTTCGTGGAAAATATTGTAACTGTGTTTTTATGCTTAGAATTTATATATATCAATACATACACACACACATTATATTGTTATATAACATATTACAAAAAAATAAATAAACAAATAAAATAGGACAAAAAGTTCTCAATTGGATTTTTGGATTATTTATTTTTATTATTTCCCAAAAGGAAAATAAGTCAAATGTAATTTATTACAAAACATTTATACTCAATCTTTAAAAAAAAAACAAAGTATGAATTCATGGTTTACAACAATCACTGTAATGCTCTAGCAAAATGAAAGAAAAAATAATGATGGGTCAAGTACTTTAGACTGTGCAAGTCTACAAAACATTTTTTTTTTACAATTATAAACTGTGCAATGCAGTGTTTTATTTCAAATAAAAAAGAACATAAAGTAATTTAAACACACTTTAATTTGTCACTTGAGATTACATGACAAATTAGCATTTGAAATTGTTGTATAATGTATCAAAGAAAGCAAAAAAATCAAATAAATCAAGACACAAAGAAACCAGTAAAATCAATTCACAAAGAAACCAATCAGCTGAAAAAGAAAATAAAATACATTTAAGTAAATCACCAAAATCCTCTCATTTTAAGAGAGCACAATAAACACAATGATACTATTAAACAAAATAAGAGAAACATTATTAATAAATTGAGGTACAAGTTTAAGTGAATAGCCCACACATCTCTAAACTGTAACACATACAGTAGCAATAAAGAAATTCTAACAATAGTCAATAGGTGCTATGGTGTAAAACACATGCTAATTTCTTCCAGAATATTTGAAAATGTGTTTGTGTGAGCGGCGTGGTGCAAATGTCCTGTGGTACCTGTAAGATTGAAGACTGAGGTAGATTATGGGGTAAATGTATGTAAATGTGCAAATGCTGTAGCATAGTGTCTATGGGTGTTCATAGTCATTTGTGGACCAGTTGAAAACCATCAAAATACTGCACTGCTAAAATAACCCCTTTTTCTTTAGACCTTCTGCAAAGAAGACAATTTGTGTTTCCTAATTTCATTTTGTCTTTGTCCTGTGTGATATATTAATATAGCCATCGTAAATGTGGGGCTCCTTTAACACAATTTCAGTGACTTACAACTCCCTCATACGTTTTCATAAATAACCCTTCTGTATGAATTCGTGAAGGTGTCACATCCTGGCAATACAATAAAATCCCTCATATTTCACAAGCAGCAAGAGATAAAACACAGACAATTTGCCTCTAAAAGCTGGGGAGAAAAAAAGACTGCCCATACAATTTTATCTCTGCCATAAAACAATTTAGCTCACGTTTATGCACTGGCTTTAAAAAAAAAAATTATGAAGTGAATAATAAAGCCATTACACGTGATATTAAATCTCATCTCAAGAAATAAAATCAATTACTTAATTTTTTCATTAGCAAGAAAAAGGGTCCATTAAAGAAAGTCAATCAAAGAAAAGTTCAAAAATCTGGGACTTCAAGAGGCATGTCAACTTCATCTGGGATCTCTTCTGGGTTGAATGTGGCCTGCATTGCTTTTGCTGAATTCTTGTGAGCCTCCATAAACTTCTGAAGATACTTGGAGGTGTACAGCCAGTGGTGTTTAAGTATATCTTCAAGTTCAAACATTTTGGACTGCCTTGCATTCATCTTCCGAAAACGTCTGAACAGCTTGTTCCCAGACTCATTGCCTTCACTGGCCCATGCTCCAATAGACCCGTCTCTCTCGACAATCTCAGGAACATGGGCCAGAGTCTTGTGGAGGTAGTTGGTGATTTTTCCATCATAGCGGTACTTAAATGTGGTGGAAAGCAGATCAGCAAATTGCTGAGAGTTGTAGCTGTATTGACAGAGTTGATCAGGGCAGTCTCGGGAGGGACAGGTGGAACGCCACACAGGCTTCATCTGGACGTAGAGGTCCATCAGTTTTCGTAGTGCCTCACGCCGTTCCTCAGAAGGAACCAGCTCACAGACCACCTCCACAGCTTCACGTGTCATTTGCCGACGAGCATAGTTTCCATTCATCCTCATCACAGGCTTGAGTTTCAGCTTCTTTCTAAGCTGTTTGTCCAGGGTTGACCGCCAACGACGGCGTTCCTCTCGGCTCGGATTGCTCTTCTGGTAGACTTCGCCAATCTCATCCTGAAAGATCTTGTAGAATTCAGTAGCATTGCCAATGTCACAGTGCAGGGCATCTAGAGTAGGCTGGGTCTCCATGAAAGGCTTGGCAGAAACACCTTTGACCCGGTCACGAAGCTCATCAGCAGACTCTGAGAAAGGATTTGTCCTCCAGATCTCGTAGCGCTCAAGATTTTCATCGTGGTTACGTGTGATGGAATGTAGCACCATGTTCTGAGACGCTTCAGCTCGGGTTGAGTCACAGAGTGTGCATATATAAGTGGAGCCTGATGCTTCTAGGCCTTCCATTTCACGAACCATCTTCTCATCATAGCCTGTGCCCCGGAAGAAGAACCTAAAGGATCGTAGCAGACCACCAACCGATAAAATAAGCCGACTTTCCGTCATGGCTTTCCGCTCTGCTACCACAGGTCCCAAGATGGCCGTCAGGGTCTCATGGTCGGACTCATCCACAAACATGAGGCACAAAGGTCTGCAGGAGAGCTCAGAGTTTGGCTTTTGTTCCTGAAAGATGGTGATGCCATCATCTTCACCCTCAACTCGGATGGAGATGGACATGATTGTGAAGGAAAACCTCACTACCTTCTCAGGAACCGCTGGACCAGATCCATGCTTCTCGTTGACATCTCCCATACCATCACATGATTCTTTCACCACAACGGTAAAACCGGAGGTGCATATGCTGTCATCCAGCTCCCTCTCTCTCAGTCCTTCAATTATGTCCTCCTCCAAATCTTTTAATGCAGAAACGAGTGCCACATCGTAACGGAATCTTCTGGAGATAGTGTCCGCAGGGACATCGTCAACAGAGGTTGTCCAACCAGAGAGGCCATCAATGATGCCCACATCCCAGGAGCTGGAAACATTTTTTAAAGCTGGCTGCCACTCAAACTGGTGGAACCCAGGAAGAAGCTCTTTCTCGGCATTACGTAGAGTGTGCAGGGGCTGGAATATCTGGCGACCACTAGTGGCCTTTACAGTGCGGTACATCTTGTGGTACTGACTGCAGCTGAGGAAGGTGTTTACCCTTATAGCCAAACACACTGCAGGATGCAGCCCAAATCCCCTGCCTGAAAGAGAATACAGAGGGAAAACAAAACTGTGTGAGACAGAATCAGAAGTTTGAATACATATAACTGTTTATCCAGAATAAACTCAAAAAATGTGAGCCTGAATGTGTGATTATGTGCCTATGTATGTTTGTGGACTGATTTCAAAGCACTATCAAATGAGCGCTAGCATATCTGGAATTCTGATTGTAATTGCAGCATGTAATATGTCCTAATTGTTCTAGATTAGCAAGATTATTAATGCTTAAGTTAGAAGAGAGGTGACTCAGCTGGGCTGGAAATACTGATCTATTGGCTGATGATGAAAACAGGCACCAGCTGGGCCCTGTTCCCCTGGGGCCGAAGACAGTATCTATGTCATTTGCAGATACAAGGGCTACTGATGTTGTTTTCATCCTAACAAGCTCTTTACAAGAATTGTTATTGTGTATTGAGTCTCACATGTGGACGTACACACACACACATATTCAGTAAAGTGGTGATTATTCTATTTAAATTGACAGTGAGGCATGTAAGAAAAGAATTAATTCATTTTTGTTGTGTAGATAACCTTGTGGACGTGTTCAATTCATTTTGTGCATCTATTGCAGGTAGTAAATGTGAACATAATTGTGTAAAATTACATGTTAAAGATGTTGTTCTATGAAAAATGAGTACAATTATCTGCAGTCAGGCAGTGAAAATTAGACTAGTTCATTCTAGAAAACAAATAATTATGCCATATATTAGATTGTAAAAATGTTATATATTCTTATTCTTGTTGGCTCCCAAGCTTATGTGAGTAAGTCAATAATGCATTATCTGTTCATTCCAGTTGTATTTGTCTGACAACGACTGCTTTGACAGTCACATATTGTGGGTGATATGTTTCTTGGCAGTACCTTGCATCATAGCTTCCAGTTCATCTGCTTGTTTGTGTTCATTCTCAGCTCTCAACGCCAGAAGGAAGAGCGTCAAACAGACTGACTTCACATCCCCTCCTTCTTCCTTTTCAGCAAACACCTTCACCTGGTTCTTCAAATCTCTCAGCCTGTGTTTTTGAGCCCGACGGGTCAGTGACAACAGGTGCTGTCGAGGACGCCCACCTTTGTTGACCGGCAAGTAACCATCAATATTCTGCTCTGAAGATGTTTGCTCTTCCTGAGACTCTTTTTCATGGTAGTGGTTGAGGCAGTGTTCCCTAAAGGAGTCCATTCGGACCCAGTCGTTGCATGCTTCATTGAGTTTTAACCATTCTTTCCCACCTGATCCCGCAGTATTCTCTATGGTCTTTCTCCACACTCTATTGGCCCCTGAGAATTCTGAGGAGTCCCTTTTGATTCTCTTTGGAAGGCTGTGTGCACTTTTAAGTGGTTTAGCCCGCTTCCTTCCTATTCGCTGAAAAGAGCTCTTCTTAGGAAAGCAGAGGTCGCAGTTGGAGGTGTGGGGCTTCCAGTCTGGGATCTGGGTCCTAGTGAAAGAACAGAAACCTCCTCCCCTCATGGCAGCAGTCCAGCATCTTCGACAAAACAAAGATGGATGCACCGTCTCCATGTCGGTTGTCACATCCACCTTGAAGACCTTCAAGATCACTTCCGGCCAGGTCAGAAACTTGCAGCCCATCCTACGCAAGGCACACTGACTGGACTCTTCCAAGTCTCCCTGGACTTCATGTGACGGACCTTTAGCCTTCCGTATTGAAAGGCCACAAAGGCGACACAGGCATCTGCCAAAGACACAAGTAAATTAATCTTGTCATGTTCCAAATGTGCACAAATTAAAACAACATTCAGAATTCACACAATTGACTCAATATTATAATTAGACTCACTTGAGAAGATTCATATGTGTATCAATTTCCTGCAGCTTAAGGTCCACTCTCCCTCGAGCACTCTCCATGTTTTCCTTACTCTTCCCTCCAAAACAGAGCTTCATAACACTGCCTGGAGAGCCTGCCACCTCCATTGCTACCTCAGGCTGGTTTTCCTTCTCCACCGGTGTTTCATTAGGCAGAGGGGCCTTCTCCATGGACCTAACCCGAAAGAGCTTAAACTTCCATTCCGAAAACTTAGGATGTGACAGTTCGTCAGGCATGGAGGCTCTGGGAGCATCTTCAGAACTCCACCTCCCTTTCTCCATGGCGTCAGCTTAGTCTCAGCTGCTTTCAAGAACGAGAAAAGAAAATGAGAAGGAATAAGATTAATTATTTATGAATCAAGAGTTTATGAGACTACGAGATTAGCTTGGCTGCCAAGGAATTTTCTTAGGTGTAATAGAAAACGGGGGGATTTGTGGCTTACAAATCCACAAAAGAAGAGCAAAACAACATTATTTCCAAGGCTGTGACACAATCAGGCAGATTTACTTAGGTCTACAAGCGTAGTTTGTTAAAAGCGGCCCTGAAATCCTAGCCCAAACGGGAGAGCTTTGCTCTGACCCGGAGTACAGCATTATACCATAAGTGGCATTTAGCGCCTCTGTAAAATGCATGAGACAAGCATTCAGAAATCGATCTGCTGCTGAAAACTTAATTTCTCTCCTCCCTAACACTCCCGCTCAGGGACCCACCATGTCCTTTTTTCTATCCCTCATCTTTCATTTAATTTTTTGCCCCTCATCTTTCTCAGGTACCAAGAGTTTGCTAAATGGACACCTCTAGGGCTGTCAATCAGTTATAATAGTCATTCACTGTGCTGAACCCAAAGTTTAAGTCCATGGAGGAGCATGCTGGCATTTAATGGATTACTCGAGAGAAAGAGAGAGAGGCAAGTCTTATGATGCACAGCCACTGACTGAAGTCTGATGAAGGGAAATTGTAATGCCAGCCATTCCCTGTGAATCAGATTCTATCCTGTGTTTCAACCATGTCACTCCCCGAGTGTGGTGATCTGCATAAACACACAAATAAAAACAAGGACTACCTCAGAAGTCACATCACTTGGACTAGTAGTGGCTGTCAAACCCTTGCAGACTCTCAAAACAACTGTGTCACGATGTGACGCTCCGCTCTCATCCCATCCGCGAGAATGTAAAACGGTCCTCTTTCCTGATCAATAAATCAACAAATGCTTACCATAACACTCCCATGGCGAGTACATGCTGGCATTTTCTCTCTTTCTCTTTTTCTTTTTCTCCCTCTCAGCTTGTGTTTGCACACTGGGTCTCTCCAGCTATCAGCTCTGAAGTGAACTATTGAGACACGCATACACACAAACAGCTGAGAGCATTCAGTCTGTCAGTCAGCTGGGTTGTCCTACCTTGTTTTTGAGGCTCAGCTGGCGAATTCTCCCCTGGGGCCTTTCCGCATGGGGGCACAAGGGAGGCCTAGTGCGTTTTTGAGTGCGGATGTCTTCCAGGCTCTCTATCTAAGAGTGCCTGGCTGGATCTCAGTCACTTGGTGCTCATATAAAACACTGTGTCTCTCCATAGGAAGAGAGTCCTATTTATACCCCTCTGTGGGGTCCATAACCACCACATTTTAGCACCTGAGATGGGAGGTCTCGGGAAGGGGGTAGGGGGGGGTGATGCTAACCACAGTCACACACAAGCACACACACACACTTTTACTAAGATACCTAATGAGGACATAGACTTCTATTGTTGATGACACTTTATATTTATGGTCCTCTGTAGACATTCTGTTGACTGTAAGTAACTTTGCAACTACATGTCAACTACCAGTCATTAGAGTATTAGTAGACTGTCTACATAATACCTGCTAACACTATTCTGATAGACCCTCAAACAGACATTCTACTGAATATAAGTAATTTAGCAAGTACATGTTGACTAATCCTAACTTAACATTCTGCTAATACTCTACTAATACTCTAATAAGAGTTAGTTGACATGTAGTTACCCTTAGTCAACAGAATTTCTTAAGGGGGCCATCAAAATAAAGTGCAATCCTATTGTTTTAATTATAATTAGCATACAGACTAACTCTAAAAAATAGAGCATACAGCATACATATAATTAGCAGACAGACTAACCATAAAAAATATCAAAATTAAGACATCCTTAAAAGGGATATTTTGTCATATTAAGTAAACTATTTCAAAGTAAACTCTTATACACACATATACACCAATATGAGACATCATCATAGACCTAAGATCTGCACGCAGATACTCCAATACACAACATAAACCAAGTATTTTTGACACACAAACGCACATGCACAGTCTGCATCATAAACACGTGTCAGTACAAGCCACATGGATACAAACTAACACATCCCCCTGCTGTTTTCCCCCGGCGCTCTCTGAAACTCATCTCCAGCAGGTGGTCCAAGCCAACATGCTGCAGCTCTGCTATTTGATCCCACTCTATATAGAAAAACAGATGCCGTTAAAACATCAGATCAGAGGAATCCATTAAAAGAGAGCTGACAACCATCTACTCAAGGCTGCTTGACTAAAATGCCCTTTACAGTGTATTCAAAAGTTGGAAAAGCATAGCAAATATAGGGTATAGTCCGACTGCATTTCACAATTTTAGATTCCTGCTGAGACGAGTTTATTGTTCGTTGACTTTTTGGACAAATTACCTAAACTAGGATGTCACTATAATGAGCATTATCTCTACAAGTGGGCTCTGTTGCAGTCCCTCTATGAACGGTGTTGGTGTCATCAGCAAATATGAATTAAAGGGACTTATTAGTTGATAAATAAATCAAGGGTGTTTTTGCAGAAGAGTTATTGTGCCGTAATTGGTGCTATTCTGTCTAGACTTCTTGGTGCGGGATCTGACAGTCTAGTCATTAAACAGTCACCAAGCGCCCGCAAGCATTGTGTGGCCTGTCTCATCTGAGAGCCACAACTTCTGCAAACCAAACAAAGAGTAAACATCATAAATAATGTACAATGCAGGTCATTCTACAACATGGCCACCATTTGTGCCCTATATATACACATGTATAAAATGACTTTGACAATGAAGAGCTGATGCAATCTTTTACTGTGCTGATATAGACAACAACAATCATACTGTAGAATGACCCATATAATACAACACACATAAATATGAAAATTAATTATTTAAATTCAAATTATTTAAATCCATATAAATGGGTGAACAGAGAGAGAAAAAACTCATTATTGTGAGTAATAAAGGGACGGAAAGTGATTTTTATGCAAAAGACAGTTTGCTTTCGGCCAAATTATAAAAGCTACAAAATTAGAAAGGTCATTGAAAATACCAGTTTTTACAAGTGCTCCTTCATCCTTCACAAAGATTCCTTGAGGGCCTGAAAAACAAAGCCGACATATAGCATTTGATTGATCATGATAGAGTTTACATGTGTGCATGTTTTTGACTCATTCATGTTTTGTACTGCATTATTTAAAGGAACAAATCACAAAAAAATTACAAGTCTGTTATCATTTACTCACCCTCATGTCGTTCCAAACCTGTATGACCTTCTTTCTTCCATAGAATACAAAAGGAGGTATTTCACTGAATGTCCAAGCTGCTCTTTTATATACAATAAAATTGGACAGTGATTCATACTATTAAACTTCAAAATGGAGAATAAAAAAGTACATCCAATCATTTGTGATTCTAAAGTCAAATGGGATTGGGATGGGATGGGAACAACATGAAGGTGAATAAAAATTATTTAACAAAAATACTTTTTGGTGAGGAATTGTTTAGCAAATTTCACCTTCTGTGGGCAAAAAAAGCATTTTTTTTTCTAAGATGGCCATGTATTCTGATAAAGTCATATTTTCATGTCAAAGCTTACAATAGTTGCTAATGAAGAGCATAGCTGTTCGCATTCATGTGGTGCTATTAGCCAGTAGTCATCAGGGTAAATAAATTATGACAGAATTTTCATTTCTGGGTAAAATTAACACTTTAAAATTGTAGTTAAGCCTGCCAGATCCTTCAGTCTTCATAAACCTAAAGAATGAGAAAAACAGAAAGAAACCGTAGGTCCGTTGCCATGGCAAAGCAAACAGAGCTGCAGATGTCCATCTAACAAACAAGCAGTGACCCCTAGAGATCTGCGCCTCTCTCCGCCTGCTAATTGACTTGTTATTGATAAGCCCAATGGCAGTTTGATTTATGTGAAAAATGTCTTCATTCGACAGCCACCTGGCATTAAGCTGGGTATTATTCTCCATTGTGTGTGAGTTTTTGGGGAATAGTTGTTGAGGTGCTGTTATCACCATCTGAGGGGACACCTGGCATGTGGGGTCAAAGATATTGGTGTCAACGCAGAGGGCAAAATTGAACTGCACACCAAACACAAAGCACAATCAAAGCACATTATTTGAGTGAGGTGGTGAATCATTGACACGCACAGTCTTTTAAAGGTCACTAGTACCTGTTTAAAGAGATTTTCATCCTCTGACATTTATGTGACGTTTTTATGACGTCAAATCGGTCATTTTTGTTTGTTGATCGAATAACTCACTGTATTGAATCCCATAATTCCCTGCAGTGCTTGGAAGTATGAAGCACCACTACCAATAAAGCATAACACTAGCGTAGCTTTTCCTGTAAGAAGCTAGTTTTTGGCAAGGAAATGTTTAGCGAATTTCCCATGCTGGTACATTCTGTGGGCAAAAATGTATATATTTTTTTTCTATGATGCCCATGTATTCTGATGAAGTCACATTTTCATGTTAAAGCTGATAACAGTTGCTATTAAGAGCTTAGCTGTACACATTCTTGTGGTGCCATTAGCGCTTAGTAAAATGGCTTGATAATCAGGTAATTGGCTAAATAAATAAATAAATAAATGTCCAAATTGAGCATCCATTAACAAAGATGAGATTTCAAAACACATACTTCCTGTGCTAGCCGTGCAACTGCAATTGGGAATGCTAACGGCTAGCTTTCTCCAGGTATATCAGACTTCCTTGTTTGAAAATAGTTGAAAATAGTATTATTTGGACAGTTTCATGTTAGTGGCACTAGAAATTAAACACTCATTATTAAAAAACTCATCTTTAAATCATAAGAAGCTTGTAGCTTGGAAAGCTATTGTTTCAAAGTACCCTTATGAAAATTAACCATGGTTTTACTACAAATTAAACCAAAAAACCATGGTTACTATAGTTAAACCATGGTAACCACAAATTAACCATGGTTTTGCTACACTAACCATAGTTTAACCATGGTATTTGTAG